TTAATTTATTTATTTATTTATTCATTCATTCATTCATTCTGTTTGTACCCCGCCTATCTGGTCAAAATGACCACTCTAGGCGGCTTCCAGAGAGATAAAAATATAAACACATATACACATAACAAAAAATAATTAACCACGGAAAGAATTAAATTCATCTTGTGAGACACCATTGTATTTCCAAATATGGTACATATTTCTGTCCATTTTTTAACGTAAGAAAAGTATTAGAACAAGAATCTTCCAGAAAGATAGCTGTGTTAGCCCACTTCAGGATGTTGAAAAATATTAAAGGGGTGGGGGAATAAAGAGGGGGGAAAAGTGAACGACAAAATGTTGCAAGGACCTGGCACACTGCTTTTAATGGTGCAAATGTACCCCTGGCCACCACCAAAACCTGGGCAGCCAGATTCAGAGATGAATCCAGGAGAGCTCCCAAGCTCAGAGGTGCCCACTTGGAGGCGGCTGCCTGGCTTCCCTGCTCTGCCTGCATCAGGCCCTGCCTCTTAGTGGGCACCCACTGGAGGAGGTGAGGCTTTGAAGCGCCAAAGACCTGCTCAGCTGATAGACAAACTGCCATGGACCGCTGAACTGGGTGGTTCATGCCCATCTCTAACAGTGAATCTTCCCACAATATAGCTAAAGTACAGTAGTGGCAGTTTAGTTATTTTTGCTTCTAGAGAGCATTCAGGCTTCCCATTTTTTTAAAATATTACATATAACAAGCCCAGTTTTCTGTAACATCTTACTTGTATAAACTAATTGTCTCCCTTGACATACTCTGCCCTTTGCCTCAGAAAGAATTTTTTGGCAGTTCTGTGACAGGGAAACCTACTAAGTAGAAAGCTAATCACCATAAAATTGTATATTAATATCTCAATTAATCCAATTTCTGTGTCAAAGTTGCATTGTCACGGTGTGTTGTCTATTTCCTCATCTCGTCATTACTCCCACTCTCATGGAAAAACAAATGGCACAGTATGAGCCTTCACGTGTGTAAGGAAGTGGATTTTAGCCCACAAACTCTCACACCGAAACAAATCTGATAAGTCTCTAAGGCGTCACGACTTTTTGCCTTTGGCCTTTCCCCTTCTCTTCCCGCTTATTTTCCCTCCCGTTTTGTCAGCCAGATGGACTTTGAAATTCTTTGCAAGAAAATGCGCAGAAACGACTGCAGCAGCCCTGACCCCATGCAGTTCAGCATTCTGACGGGGGGGGCAAATTCTATTAGAACCTACATATGCCTAAGTCCGAGTAAGCATCACGCTGCATAAATGATACAGAGTCCCCTTCTCTTCCCGCTTATTTTCCCTCCCGTTTTGTCAGCCAGATGGACTTTGAAATTCTTTGCAAGAAAATGCGCAGAAACGACTGCAGCAGCCCTGACCCCATGCAGTTCAGCATTCTGACGGGGGGGGCAAATTCTATTAGAACCTACATGTGCCTAAGTCCGAGTAAGCATCACGCTGCATAAATGATACAGAGATGATAAACCAAAAAAAAAAAACAAAAAAACGAGGAAGGTCCGCATTCTCCTACGCGATCGCCTCGTTTTTCGTTCCCGTATGGTAAGCCTGGCGAGCCTTTCGTGTGACTCCCAGATGCATCTCTCACAGCAAACTTAATCTGCTCTTCCTCTTGTATTTCCCAAGGTCGCCCACCCTTCCGTGACCACCGATTTTTCCGCCGCCACAATAACCCGCCCAACGGCCGGCTCTCTACGGTTCTTGTCCCCGCGGGGCCGTACCTGTCCTACCGCGGGTAATTTCCCCCCGGCTGAGGGATGACGTAATCACGCCAGTACGTGGGGATTCCGCTGCCTTACCCGGCATGCCCTGCGGCAAAATGGCGGCCTGAGGCGAGCGAGCTGGTCCCGGCCGGGAGGGGCAGGGGAGGGGAGGCAAAGTTTGAGGTGAAGAATAGTCGCTTTTTTTCAAAATGCTGCCAACAGAGCCGGACATTTGGTTTAGCAGCGCATGTCCCCAGGTGAGCTGAGGCAAGAGAAGGGCAACAAAGCTGCACAAATCGGAAAAAACTGCGAGGGCTTCGCTGCCGGAGTTCGCTACACCGGGCTTGCTTTCCGTGGCAGCGATTCTTCGCTTCAGAGGCCGAGCCTGTGGAGGTAAGGATGAAGAATTAACCGGCACCCCCCGCCCCGCCCCGCCCTCCTCTTCCCCGAAGCTCCCTCCTGGAGCAAGTACCGAACCTTCCGGGTGGGAAGGGGAAATGGGCGGGAACCCGCCTCTCCCGGAGACCGGATAGTAGTTTTGCTGCTGCCCTCGCCGCAAACGGTACCAAACTCCGTCGTCGTCGTCCTCCTCCTCCTCCTCAGGAAGGTACCCTTAATCCAGTGCAGGTCTTCCCTGCGAGGATGGCCCAAAGGGGCGGGTGGGTCAGTGGAGCGGAGTGGGCCGCCCACGCGGAGGGTGGCGGTGGGCTCTTCTCTCCTTTGGCGCCGGCCGGTCCCTTCCTTGCTTCGGCCAACACGGGGCCTCCCTCCTCCGCTCTGTAGCCTTCCTTGTCTCCGTTCAGGAGTGTTTGGGCATGGAGGTGTCTGAGGGAATTTCTTGGGACTGGGTGCGAGTATGGATGGTTGTGGCGAGACAGATTTGGGGTGGGGGGGAGAGAGGAAGGTACAACCCGCCACTGTCAACGGTTGAGAAACTCACATGGACCTTTACTCTGAGAATGTTTTGGAAATGAGTGACTCTCTAGGGAAGCGAAGGGCCCAAGGATGGCCAGATCCTTATTTGTTTGGGAAACAATTCTGGAATACCTGTCTTCACAAGACTAGGGGATTAATTTTTTTTAAATTACATGTCTGCCTTTCAAGGAGCTCAAAGCAGGATTCTAATCCCCATTTTTATTCCCTCAGTAAACTTTTGAGGTTCCATACCTATATGGAGATAGGACGCGGCGTTATGGTAGTTAATATGAACTTGAGTCTTCTTATTTTTCTAGGGTTATACTCCACTCTTTCTCTAACCTTTTCTGCAGGAGGAAATAGCAAATGAAGCAGAAATTGAGTGAAAATTTGCTGAATCTTGGATATATGGACTAAGATTATGGGACATTAGCTGCTGGAGCTTGTGTGTGGTTGAATGGAAAAGACCCAAGCTTTTTATTTTAGGGAGTTACTAAAAGGATAGCTGTCCTCCCTCCTTCCCCCCACCCTAGCAGTTCCTTGTTCTTAGGAGTGCTCTGCCTAGTTTGTAGTTTATGGGTACAGTGTCCAAATATTCATGCTGCAGATGCACATGTGTCATTCACACTATGGCCTACAGCTGTTTCTTACACATTTTTGGGGCTTCTGCTTGTGTTAAACCAGGTAATTTCATTTTTGATACACTGCTCATCCAGCTGGCCTCCACCTATCTGGAGCAGTGCCCATCTGGAAGCAGGAAGTAGCACTGCCTGGAGGAGCCCAAGTGGGACAGAGCTGATACCACCTTCTGCACTGAGCAGTGGGGCAAAGAAGGGGACAGCCCTTCAAAAAAGGGCTGGCATTGAAATGTGGGAGGAGGAGAAGAAAGGACTAATAGCCTGGGGTTCCCCTTGCATACAATGTTTCTTTCTCTTACTGCAGGCTGATCCAGAGTAGGGGCCTGCTGACTACAGGTGGATAGATTTGTGGTTTTGGACTACAAACCCAGAATGTTGTCCAGAGAATTCTTGAAGAATTATGAAAGTTGCAGTCTAAATCTGGGGGATGATGGCTGGAAAAATCTGGGGTGTTGCATTCCAAAAACACAAAAGGGATACCTCTAAGATTTGAATCCAAGTCTCCTAAGCCCTAGTCTGACCCTTTGTCCATTACACCACAATCAATTTTATGTGCTTCCACAAGCTCCAGTATAGATTACTTAGGTTAATCTTTCTGCCTGTCCTAGTATTTAATGCCTAATATTTAATACCATGAAAAGAAAAAAAATCTGTAGTTCTTAAACTGAGTTAGTGCCTCAACAGATATGTACTTATTAGCAGTAATATATAAAAATAACAGTGTGGATCAACTCTGTTTTGCATCTCTGACTAAAGTTATTCCTGCGGTGTTTCCCCCTGTCTCTTCACATAATGTTGGAAATTCTTGGAAGCAGTATTAAAATAATCATGATTGCTTCTTACAACATATCTCTTGAGTGATCCTGACTCTTTAGAGTGCCAATCTGTTTCCCCCTTGCAGCTTTGCTTAGGTAAAATGGAGTCAAGTCCTTATCTCTCTCTGGAAGAGAAACAGAGAGGATTCAGACTTAATCATGTAATTTCCTTTATGCCTCAAAATACACCCCTGCTTGCTATACCCTTAATACATATTTTTCACTATGCATATTTTCAGTCCCCTTGCTCAGCACTCACTGTCAGACACTGGGAGTGTTAACTGTTGGTGATAGCATCAGCCTGTTTATGGAGACTGTAAAATATATATATGTTAAGGTTGTAATAAGTAACAGTGCATTTTGTGAGGGCGGAATTTACTTGATTAAATAATCTAAGTTGTTCTGTGGCATATAGTTATTTTCAATTTATGGCAACCCCTAGTAAGGTTTCCAAGGTATGTGAGATGTTCAAGGATTGATTTGCTATTGCTACCACTTAGTGAATTCCCATGACCAAACAAGGGATTTGAACTCGAGCCTCCTGAGTCCTAGTTCACAAGTCTATCCACTAGACCACATTGGGTCTCAAGTGATCTGTAAAGAAACTAAAATACTTTCTTTACAGATGACTGACTCTCCTCTCTCTTAAGAGATGGGCCATAAATTCCAAACTACAGTGCTAGCTGAGGAGGAGCTTGAAAACAACTTGAATATTGCATTGTCTCTGTATACTTTCTTGAGATATTAGTATATGAGTCTGTGTTTTGGTTGTAGGTTGTACAGTCTGTGACAGTCACATTGATGGAGTGGGGTATATAGAGCCTCAAGATACCACAGCTTCACTTTTCTGAATGAGCCAGTTTGTTTATCTGGCCAAGCATTGGCAGCATTGCACCTGTTGCTTCAGTTGATGTCAGAAATAGAGAAGGCATTAATGTCATCTAGTTTGGACAGGATTTCTGGTTTTCCACGCACTTCTGGTTTTTGACACCTAAAACAATGATAGTTACAGTGCCCTTGTTATAGCCAGTGCCCATGTCATCCTGGAGTCAGAAAAATAAGATCCATTAGGACAAGTATGTAAACCTTTGTCCCATGAGACCTTTTTTGCATGAAGGGAAATTCACCCGTGGCAAAAGCCAATCGGAAACTGCAGCTTTTGATGAGAGGAGTCAAAGGTGAAAGTGGGAAGCATTTTTACCATGGCCAAATTGCATAATTCTTTCTTTGTTGTCACTACTCCATACAGAAATAGGTTGAGGGCTACAGTTTTCCCATGCTGTGGTAAGGGCGCTGCAGAGAGGTTCGGTACAGAAGAGCCTGCACAGATTCCAGGGAGGTCTTGTCTCTGTTCCTCAGAAAGCTGAAATATGGTTAATTTCACATCTTTTAGGACAGTGGAACTGAATCTTGGGTTCTCAGACCATCTAAGAAGTGAACCTGGCCTCAGCATTATCAACCATTTGAATTTGGGACATTAATAACATGTTGTAACTACCCACAAAATGTGATACACAGCCTTGAAGAAGATGAATTATCATCAAAAGCTTGCTGTTTGTTTTAGATTCTCAGTGGTCGATTAAAGGTATCAACTGTTCCGGTATTTATATTGCTTCCACAACCATGCAATCTTTTCCTGATTTTTCCTACAATAGTATTGTGCTCCATCTTGGCTGCAGGAGCAAATGTAACTTGCAGGCTAGTGACAATGGTTTCAAAGAGACATTTAAATTTTATTTTCTTGTTAAAGACCATATAAGAAATTCTTCTCTCACCAGTCTTATCAACTGTGTGTTCTACACATTTCTCCCACTCATTCTGCTCTACTTTTTTTGGTAGTTTTCTCACATGGTTCTTTTTGGCACCACTTCTTTCTGCCTGCCTTCTTTCAGACTCAGATACTCTTGTTTTGCATCTTTTCAAATCACCTGATTGATTGATAGTTAGCTGGGAAAGTGTAGGAAACATTTCAATTATGAAGTGCAAAGATCTTGATGAAGCTGATATTGTTAATATTAGTAATGTTTTTAGTCTGTAGAGATATTAAAAAAATGAGACATTATTTGCTCACAATCTAATACAATATGGTGCAAAATATGATCTAATAGAACATGATACAAAATTAGGAAGGAATTGGGGTATTCAGAACTGCCCAGATGTAGGGGTACATTGCTTTGACTCACTAGTACAGTAACCATCAGGTACTAGATTATATCTTGGCTCATTCAGAAAAAGGAATCTTTGACTAACAATTGTAAACACTTACGTCTCTGTATACTTTCTTGAGATATTAGTATATGAGTCTGTGTTTTGGTTGTAGGTTGTACAGTCTGTGACAGTCACATTGATGGAGTGGGGTATATAGAGCCTCAAGATACCACAGCTTCACTTTTCTGAATGAGCCAGTTTGTTTATCTGGCCAAGCATTGGCAGCATTGCACCTGTTGCTTCAGTTGATGTCAGAAATAGAGAAGGCATTAATGTCATCTAGTTTGGACAGGATTTCTGGTTTTCCACGCACTTCTGGTTTTTGACACCTAAAACAATGATAGTTACAGTGCCCTTGTTATAGCCAGTGCCCATGTCATCCTGGAGTCAGAAAAATAAGATCCATTAGGACAAGTATGTAAACCTTTGTCCCATGAGACCTTTTTTGCATGAAGGGAAATTCACCCGTGGCAAAAGCCAATCGGAAACTGCAGCTTTTGATGAGAGAAGTCAAAGGTGAAAGTGGGAAGCATTTTTACCATGGCCAAATTGCATAATTCTTTCTTTGTTGTCACTACTCCATACAGAAATAGGTTGAGGGCTACAGTTTTCCCATGCTGTGGTAAGGGCGCTGCAGAGAGGTTCGGTACAGAAGAGCCTGCACAGATTCCAGGGAGGTCTTGTCTCTGTTCCTCAGAAAGCTGAAATATGGTTAATTTCACATCTTTTAGGACAGTGGAACTGAATCTTGGGTTCTCAGACATTCTTGGACTATAACTCCCAGAAATCCTGGCCAGCATAGCTAGTGGTGAAGTTTTAGTCCAAGAACATCTGGAGACTCAAGGTTGGGTACCACAGTTGTGGGAGTGGTACCAACTCAAGCATGCCAGCTAAAAGCCTAATAGCAACATCATTTGGCTGTATAAACGTATGATGTCCAAGCTTCCTGTAAGAAATGACCAGAGCTATTGAGATCTGGGCAAAGATTTTGGCAGGAACCATGGTCAATTCAAAAGGGAAAACTGCTTTTCCCTAATCTGAAGTGAAGCAACTTGCAGTGCCTGCTCTCAAATATGTTGTAGGAAGATATATAAATGCAGAAAGTCCCTCCTGCTGAGAATTGTTGTCTGCTGCCTCATTAACAACAGGAAGTCATCTATACATTAAAAGAAGAGACATTCCATCTCTTATTTTTAAATATGGAGCCTTCTTATCTGTCCTTATCCCCTTGCCTTCTCTATTTCAAAGGTAGAACAAGTTGTTACAAGCACTTGCCATTCTCAGAATGGTATTCATGGTTTTCAGGAAGTGGTAGCCTCCCTCCCCAAGGTTAAAATGCCTGTCACTGGATGTCTAGGCAGAACTACATTTGAGATAGAACACAAAACTATTTTTGGAGCCTTTGAGAATGCGTTTATTTTTTGGAGCATTGTCATCCTCTTTTACTGTTTACATTTGCTTTCTGAGTGCTATACCCTTTTGCATATGTCTCAAGTGATAGCAGCATATGGACAATGCTAAGATTATCAATCTCCATGGCTATTAATTATTGGAACAAAGTGGAATTCTCCAGGATATTTCTGTTTTTATGCTGGAGTAGACTGGTCTGATTGAGCAAGTTGGTTCTTAAGAAGAACACAGGTTCTGTTCTGTTTGGGCCATTCCTAAATAGCTTTGGCTAATACTTTGGGAATAATAGCTATAAGGTAGACTTTCCTGGAGCACCTCATTGCTAAAAGAATTCTTGAAGACCATAAGTGAATGACAATTAAGTGCGTGTGGTTGCAAAGAGAGAGTGAATGAGATAGAAAATGAACTTTTAGAATTTGTATCTTGTGTAGGGCTGGTGGTTTGCATTTTTTTGGGGTTGTATCATTTGTTTTATATGATTTCAGGTTAATCATTTGCTCAAACATAAATTTTGGGCATAAATGGAATAAATATGAGGCAAATCCTATGTTATAGATTCAGATATTCTACTCATGTGCATTTTATACAACTAAATATAGCCTGGTGCTTAGTACTGATTTAATAAATATGTGCTGTCATATTCCTCTTGATGGCAGCTATCATAGGGTTTTCTAGGTACAAAGTACTAAGAAGTGGATTTACCCCTTCCTCATTCTAGTGTTGCTTTGGGACCCTCCAGCTCATGTGAGGTGGCAGAGGGGATGTTACCCCACCAGTCATATATGCTCCAAGTGATCTTGACTGGCCCCTCTCCCAGGAGGCATAGTGGGGACTTGAACTCTTGGCCCCTAAGTCCGTTGCCAGGAATTCCACAACACTGAGCTATACCAACTGAAGCATGCCAGCTAAATCTATACCAGTGAAAGCAAGTGCTGATTTAGCAGTCCATTAATGACTCTGTCAAGGTCTTGGATAGTGTTTCTCTGCTATTTGGAGTACAGTGCACAAATCATTAGGAGAGCAGAACCATGTGGAATTTGGTCCCTCCACGTTGCAGTCTTGTTGGTGAACTTTAGTCAGAATGATCTTGGAAGCTATTTTGTCTTCTCAGGGGAAGATTAGAAAGTTGTTCTAACATGATTTCATTCTATTTTTATTGAATATTCCCATTATTAACTGAAGACCAGCTAACCATTTAGAACTACCTGTTACGATGCTTGTACTGTGGAAAATACTTGTTGAGTAATTTGGAAAAAGAAGCTAATAAAAGAGGAGTTCTAGTAAGTTGTGGCAGCAGTAACAGATTAAGCATTAGAATTGACAGGTGGTTCTCATGACAAAGCATCTCAGCAAGGGAGAAGGGCAGAACAAAGAGGAGGAAATTTCTGTTCTCCCTATCAAGCCTCTTCTGCACTTCTCTGTTTCTCAACTTCAGAGAATTGGCTTGGGGAAGCCATAGCCTCAGCTGTTCCTCTGTTTGAGGCAGGAAATGCCAGGGTTGAGGATAGAGGCTGCAGCAACAGCTGTCCAATCTCTGTGGTTGTCCCGGGAGGTGAAGAGTCTGAGTCTGTTCTGACCCATTGGTCCTTCAGATGGCAAGGGTCCATATTTGATGACTCCATTTATGAGTGCTTTGAGAGAGATTCATACATTGCCAAGGTGGCATTAATGCTTAGGTGGATAAAGTGACTGGCACCACAGCTATCATGGTTGGGAACAAGGTTTGCCTCCAAGCATATGCATTCTTTGAGGTCATTAACATTCCCTTCTCCTCCATTGTTTTAATGGAAGAGAGACAGTTCCCTCTGGATTCATGGAATATTGGAAGACAACAACAGCCACTCCCCCAGGCATCTCTTCATAGGTCCCTGTTGTAATTTTACCATCCTTGCTTATTGCTGCTTTGCATTGCCTGGCTATCATACCCAGGTGACATCACCCAAGATGGGTCAGATAGTGCCTTTCGAAAAAGCTATGATCTCATAAGGAGGTAGAAACAGGAGGTTTATGTGTGAGTTCTCTCTCACTGTGTTGCATGCTTGTTGCAGTATATGTTTGACCGAGCAGGAACATGGTGCTATATGAAGTGGTTGGTTGTTATGTGCTGTCATGTCACTGGACTTATGGCAACCTTATGAGTTCGTGACCTCCAAAAGTTCCTATCATTAACAACCCTGCTCAGATTGTTCATCATAGTGATGAACATGTTATATTAGTAAGCCTTTGGAAGACAGTGCTTGGCAGTGTTTGTAATGTTGCCTGCCTTGTTCTATCTAAGCTACCCTGATCTGTTCCTATTGTAGAATAAGTCAACTGGCAGTTTAGCTAACTGCTTTATGCAGTCTGTGTCTGTATATGTGTGTACATGCATGTGCATGTCATCTTATCTTTTACTTCCTGAAAAATATATTAGGCCAACCATGATTTTGGGCAGTTGAGGTCATCTGCTTTCTCTCTTTGCTCTACCTCCTATTCTTCCCTGTAGCTGTTGAAAAAATGACCCTGGTTTTACCTGCCTGTGAAGGAAATCACTGCTGTGCTTCTTGGAAAGGAACTGAATTGGGAATACATTTAGCAGGCCAACTCTTCACCCCTCTGCAATTCCTCAGCCTGCAAGACAAGTGGCAGTGGAGCTGTAGGAACTCAAATACGTGAGGGAGCTGGGCTCTGAAAAGATGTATTCTTCTCACATTCAGTCTTCAGGATAAAGAGGCAGTATGAACTGATTGCTTGTTTCCTGTCTGTAAAAACCACTGGCAACTGGAGACCTACACTTACATTCTGCTGTCTATTTTTGGGTTTCCATTGGGAGATGAGCATGAAAATCTGTGGTTTTTCAGGAAGGTTTGGTACCTTGTGGTGGAAAATAGACATTTTTTAAAAGATGCAATCAGTTTTCCATTGCATTCCATGCTCTTTTCAATACACTGAAACCTACTTCTGCCTTTCCCCTAGTCCTGTTTGGGCAGCTTCCCAATGGATACACAGCATGCTATATTAATAAGCACACATTCCCAGTCAAATATTTACAATATCAACTCTTTAAATTCCCTTAAAAAAGATATGTATATACAGGGTGGATCTGATTTTAATTAAATTGATTTAAACAATGAATTATGTTTTAAATCATTATTCAGAAATATTTTGATGTGATTTCCCTTCTCCCAAAGTGCGTTCTTGCCCACTACAACTTTAACATGTATTTTTCACATTATCTATTTGTTACAGTCTTCTTGCTTGTCTCAAGAAGCTGACTTGTCCAGGAAAGGTCACATTAAAATACTGTATAGCTGTTAGTCTTTAAGTTGCTGCAGTGTTCTTTATTTTGTTTTTTGCTTTTTGGTTTTTCCTGACATGCTACCACAAACTAACAAGCGTCCTCTTCTAAAACTTGCTTAGATTGACTCAGTTCTCAAGAAGTCTATTGATTGGTACTTCCAGTGTCTGAAAGTGTGTACTTGCAAAGGGAGAGGTAAGGATTCAACTTCATATACTTAAAGTTGGAGTGCACTGGTGGCTAGGATTGTTACATTAGGGTAATTAGAATCATGCTGTAGAACTACAGTACTTAAAGCAATCCTGCAAGTTTTACTAGGGCTTTCAAGAAATTTCCAGTGTTATATCATATAAAGGGGGGGGGAGCTGTGAAGAGGTCTGCTACCTCCCTCAGGTGGGCCCTCACTTTCAGTGGGAAATAACAGAGGCTTAGTCTTTACAACTTTTGAACTGTCAACTTTATTGTCCCCTACATCCACCAGCACTTCGCTTAAAGGCAACATTGGTTCCAACTTCGGCAGCAGGCCGTTATCAACATCAATAAAACTTTTACTATAGTCCCACAGACTTATTGGTGTAGCACCCCATGTCGCTCCTTGGCCTCCGATCGCGGGGTTGTGGTACTCCTCATCGCACAAATCGTTCCACAACATGAGAGCCTCACCCACCCCCTCTCGGCCGGTCCATCAAGTAAAGGCGCTGCCGTCTTCTCCCACTCCCGGCGCAGTTCAGCCTCTCATGGAGCTACGATGGCAGTCCATTCGTGTGCCACCATATGTCTTGGCTTTTCTTCTTCTGCTTCAGGGTTAGGGAGGAGTCCTCCTACCTTTAAGTTCGGGAAGTCTCCCAAGAGTCCTTGTTGACAGACTCTTTCAAATGCCTTTCATCTTTCCTCCCTCTTCTTGCGTTCATACTCCTCTACTACTGTGCTAAACCAAACCACCCGCTCCTCGCTTTTATCCTCCTCCCACACTGACACCTCTTGCTTCTCCCCCTCCCCCTCCACCAGACAGACCTGACTTTCCCACTTTTTCTCCACTGCCAAGTTTCCCTCTGTTCCTTCACCGCTCCCTACTACATCCTGAAGTTTCCCTTCTTTTCTCTTTTCCTCCATTTTGTCTTTTGCGGACGGCACACGCTTTCTATCCGCTCCTTCACAGAAGCTCAAGGAATAATTTCAGCCAAATTTAAGAAAAGATTCATTGGGTTTCTCAGCTCCATATATTTCTGTTAACCAGTTGCATGTCTCTTGAGTTAGAAAACTACAAGTTTTTTCCCTGATAAAAAGTAAGTCGTCTGTGCAGAATCTTGTGGAATGGCATAAAATTGAAATCTGAATTCAGGAACTGTTGAGCCATATTAATAAAATTATAGAAAAAATTATATGAAAGCATTCACCAAGATTAACAACTGAATATTCACACCAGCGTAAGTGCAGTGGTGCACTTTTTTCATACTCTTATTTATTTATTTATCAACTGATAATAAGGTAGGGAATACAAAGAGTAGTATGGGGAAAGAAAAAAGGTTGGGGGGTAGGAGAACACAAAGTATACAATCATCCAATCTTTTCATGTTATGATAACAAAATTTCCTAATGAGTTTTTCAAGCCGTAACACTTTCTATGTTAGGACCATCGCTATTTGGCTGTTGTCAAAGTCACTCAAATCATTTCACTTGCCCATATTTCCTGCTTCCAACATGTGAAATTCAAGAACTGACTGTTCATTTGCTGCCTAATATATCCCACCCTTTGCCAGGTGCCATTGTAACAGCATAATCCATGCTATTCACTTCACCTGTCAATGGTTTTAATTTTGTGATTGATCAGTGTATATGTATATGTAGAGAGGGACACAAACCGCTCTTCAGTGGTTCAGCCTGGTTTGGTGTGATGTCCACATCGGTGTTCCATGGATGCCACACACTTCCTTTCCCCGTCTCCTCCATGCACTCACCAACTCACTGGCTGCAGCGTGCTTCCCCCTGCTCCTTTGGGGTCTCACCCACTCACCAGGTGCAGCACACTTCCTTCCTCTGCCTTCTCCACATCCTTGTCCACTCATCGGCAGTGCTGCAGGCTTCCATCCCCTGCTTCCTTGTTGTAGTGAAAGGTTGCATGGATAAGGCAGACGAGTGAAGCATGCTGTAGCCAGTGAGTGGGTGAATGCATAGAAGAGACGGGGAAGCGAAGTGTGTGGTGACTGCGGAACACCTGTGCAGGCGCTACACTGAACCACCAAATGGCGGTTCGTGACCATCTATCTCTCTCTATATATATAGAATTAAGTTTTTTTGCCTAGCATGTTTAAATCTTTTCTGGGAGTCTGAAGTTAGACACCTCACAGTTTAACAGACTTGCTTTAAGTGTGCTCTTTCAAGGCAAGAGGATGGGGTGATGCAGCTATTGCCTTGGGGTATAACCTGTGACTGTTTTACTTCAGCATAAATTTCGATTTTACTAACTTAGCTGGTAGCTTAATGCAGTGTTAATGATTATTTATACACCCCCAGATAAAAAGAGTAGTGCCTCCAGCAAGAACTGTTTCCTGTGCCTGAAGATGCTTTATCATATTCTAACTATAAAGAGGGATTCACTGACACCTGTTTTAGGAATTGCAGTTGACAGATCTGGCTTGCATGATTTAACATTTCAGTTCTAATGTTTCTTTGCTGTCCTTATTAATCATAAGGATTGGGTTATTGCCTAATGTTAAACTATATTTTGACCATTTGTTATAATGTTTAAGCAGTTCCCTTATGGTCTTCATTTTAATTTTGTCCATTATTGCTATTACATTATGTTTTAGTTCGTTATTTATTAATCACTTTCTGTGATGCAATTTTTTTCTGTGTCTACTGCCCTGATAAAGAAATGACATCAGCTTGAAATCAATTTTTTTTCAAGAAAAAGGCAGGATGTATTCTCTGATATTTGGTACAGTGGCGCCTCGCTAGACAGTTACCCCGCATGACAGTTTTTTCGCTAGACATTGACTTTTTTGCGATCGCTATAGTGATTCGCAAAACAGTGATTCCTATGGGGGAATTTCGCTGGACAATGTTTGGTCCCTGCTTCGCAAACTGATTTTCGCTAGACAACGATTTTGACAGCTCCCTCCGCACTCGCAAAAACAGGTGTTTTCAGGATCTAAGCTTTGCAAGACAGCTATTTAAACAGCTGATCGGAGGTTCGCAAAGCGACTTTCCTATGGCTGATCTTCGCTAGACAACGACGATTCTTCCCCATTGGAACGCATTAAACAGGTTTCTGTCCATTCCAATGGGGAAATGCTTTTTGCTAGACAATGATTTTGTTAAACAGCGATTTCAGTGGATTGGATTATCATCGTCTGTAATTTGGATATGCCTCTTTTGAACGTACAGCATTTAAATGCATGCCACCCTTTTCTCCTGCCTGCTTGCCTTCCTTGTTTTGAAAAGACGTACAATGAAATGCAATCTATGCAAAATTTGATGACTTTTTCCAGTTAAAAAAAAGGAGGAAAAAAGAATAAGAGGTACATTTTTTTCATAATATAAGCTGCATTCATTAAGAATCATGAATTTTTAGTTCATGGAATGGTTTGGCCACTTGAAATAGATTCTCCTTTGCAAAAGTGATGTTTTGAGTGTTTTCATTTGTTTGAACCAGGAATTTACAAACTCATGAATGTAGTTGAACAGGGAATATCATTCATGTAATTGCCCTTGCATATTTAGTTTTTTCAATAGGATTTAGCCCATAGCATCTAGTTCAAGGAAAGTAATAATAGTACTCTGTTCTGTTTTTATCTGGAATATTTAGAAATCATAGTTTAAGAAGGAAATCATCAAGGTAGAAGAGGAGGGCAGTCAGGATGGTAAAGGCTCTGGAAACCAAGCTCGCTCAGTGAGACATGGTTTAATAACTGAGTATAGTAAGAGAGGAAAATGAGAGGTGTTATAATATCCATCTTCCAATGTTTGAATGGCTGTCAGCTTGGAAGACAGTGCAAGCTTGTTTCCTGTGCCTCCAGTTGAGAGAATTCATATTATAGTTCAAGGAAAGTAATAATAGTACTCTGGAGATTTTGATTAAACATTGAGAAAAACTCCTTAACAGTAAGAGGGGTTTGACAATGAATGGACAACTTCAGATGCTGATGGACTCTTGTTCATTGGCAGTTTTTAAACAAAGATTGGCCATCTATCTGGATGTTTTAGCTGTACTTTCCCTGCTTCAACAGAAATTGACTTTGATTAGTCTTGAAGTTCATTTCAGCTCTACAATTCTGTGATGCTGTGCTTTTCATTTTAAGTCCCTGTGTACTTTATAAAGTAATCCTAACTGATCCAAATTCCGTGTAAAGCTTAAATTGTTTAATAGCCATTCAGAACAACCCTAATAGGTGGTAGCACAGTATTTCTAGCTTTTCCATGCTGTTTTAACACCTGTGGTGCAGGGCGAACTTTTGCTAAACAAATAGTCAAAATTGCTGATAAATTTAAATTTAGCAATTGCATGCTAAAATTTATCTTCCTCTTGCTGAAAAATTGTCATTTTAGTTAGCATCAGAGTGGCCTGAAAGAGTAAAATATTCCTCCATTGTTTTTCATGTGTTTATTTATTTTTTAATTCCAAGCTTTATCAGAAAAAGAAAATCTTGTGCTTGTAAATAGTATGGGAAATTTAGTTCACAGTATTTTTCTTCCTTGAATCATTCACTATTAGGGTTGAGGTGGTTGTCTTGTATGTGCTTACAGTCACTTCTGAAATGGTTCTAATAGGATAGAGTCCCAGCTGGGTGTGGAGGGCATATTACCCCGTAATATTTACTACTAGATTGACAGCCTGCAGTATAAACATTAGTTCAAACATGATCTTTTACCAAAACTCCGCCCATGCAAGGAGCCAGCAGTCTTCCTGCCACGCGCTGTAAATCATTTACAGTTTGCTCATGCCAGTGCATTTTAGAAACAGCTGCATGTTGGGATTAGCAGTTTGTAGAGGGCCTCAGATGAGCTAAATTAGGGCCTACTGCCATGGTTGTGAATGCTGGTAATGGAGAGAGTGAAATAGCAAGAGTGTTTCTCTACACCAAGAGGCTATTAGTTCAGGGAATGAGGGTGGGGATTTGTAAGGCAATGAGTAATGGTGTTCTAGGCTATTAGAGTAGCCATGTGCTGACATGCTTCTTGCTCTTGAACTGAAC